TCAGCGCCCTAATTTGATTATAAACAATTACTAAACAATTATATTTCATTTTACACTATATCATGAGAGTCTTTTAATCATTCTAACCACTTAATCATTGTGCACCAAACCATTCAGCAACTGCCAAACAACCCCTTACTAGACTTACCAAGATTAATCGCAATTTTCATATTAACATCTTGTTTGAATATTTTCAATCTACAAGTTGGCTTCACTTGTAGATTGAAAAGAGGGAGACAAGGAACGAGAGCTTTACCTGGTAAGTGATGACGACGACTTTTACTATGGTAAACGCTTACTAGGTAAATTGTTGCAAATGATGTCGTTTTGGTGGATTAAAGTTTTACCCGGTATGTAAATAATAGTGTTAAATTTTACGGGTAAACGTTTATCGAGTAAGGAGCTGTTTACCAAATGCTTACTCGGGTAAGTGAACATCAAGTCACATTATCTTATCAGATGAATATAGTATGGACCAAAAATCTTACCAGGTAATAGCGAGACAAGTACCAAGAGTCTTATCCGGTAAGTGAGGGCGACGACTCTTACTATGGTAAGCGCTTATCGGGTAAATTGTTGCATACGATATCATTTTGGTGAATTAAAATTTTACTCGATAAGTAAATTATAGTGTTAAATTTTACCGATAAGCGTTTACCGGATAAGTGTTTGGTAAACGGCCCCTAAGTGTTTAGTAAACGGCCCCTTATCTACTCTATAAACTCACGTAGATACATGAAATAGTTCACAAAATTGGTGGTTGAGGCAAAGTAGAACGCATGATAAAAAAAAAAAACTATTAACCTAGATATCCAACCCGCTATGCGAATCGACTAATCTCAGGGCGACCACCTGTTTTGCAGATAGTCCGGAGTCACCGCATTTGAACCTCCGTAGCCACAAGGGGATTTTTATTCCTCCTTGGATTTGAACCTGGTACCTCCTGATACTTTTAACATTTGGAGCCAAGCCCAAACCAATCAGGCACCACCCTTATGGTTCGCATGATAACTTTAGACATAAAAGATTTCAATTTAGTAAAAAAGAATTATATTTTACACTCTTATAGTTAGTTACTAATCGTATATTAACTAAAATATATAGAAAAAATATTTAATAATATAAGATTAAATACAAAACTATTCAACGTTGGCTCATTTTGAATGTACTGACGAGACGATTAGTAATGACGTAGTTTGTAAAAAGAAACATATTTTTTTCATGTACTTTAGTTAATATGCAATTATGTGTGTTAATATAATAAATATGTAAAATCAAAATTGAAAAAGTAAGAGATATAAAATACATTAAATAATTACTTATAAATGTATAAAATGTAAAAAGAAATTACTCTTTACGCAAAAACCCTTTCCACGTAAAGATTTTTCTTTTTACGTAAAAATGTATTTTTAAATTTTTTTTTATTTGAAAATATACTTTAAGCAAAAACCACCATTCTGCTTAAAGTTTAAGTGTAAACTTTGACTATTTAAGAAAAAATGGTTCCTAAAATAGCTAAAAAGTGAAATCACTTTGGGCAAATAGCTATTTGAGTAGATTTTCCATAATAACCACGTTGTAACTTATTGATAAAAATGGATTTTTGGCATGTCATGTATGACATGGTAGTAGTAATATGGATCAAGATATGAATTATCCTTTTTATATGATGGGATTGATGTCTCCAGATCCTTTAATGCAATTCTATTAAAAAGAATTAGAAAGGTACTCGTGCGATTCAGCAAAATATATCTCGATTTCAATATTTCATTTTTATTTTTTTGGTCTCTATCGATGTTATAATACGAATTTATGTGGTTTTGATCAAACAATACTGTTTTATTTAACAAAATATAAATTTAAAGATATCATAAAAAATAAAAATATATAAAAGTTCTCATTTTTTGTATAATTTCTTGAATTTAATTTTTTATTATTAGATTTAATGACGAAGTAATTTATTTTTGTTTTAATAATATAATATTTATAAGAATAATAACTAAGTATTATGTTAGAACTCAATAATTATCTTAATTATATTTTAGATTTTATATTTAAAATAAGAATTTTATCACGTATTTGATTATACAATTAGTTACACGAATTCAAACATGAAGCTTAATAAGTTGTACTTACGCACAATTTACTTGTAATCTTGAATTTTAAGTAATATGGATCAGTAAGCAGTTCTTCATGTATAAAAGATGGTTTTTAAGAGTTTTTATCAAATGCTTTACAATATAGTATAGATTATGCATGCTTATATAGTCAGTATTAGATATTGACATATGTTTTGTATGTATATTCGGGAATGAACTTTGATTTTAACAACTCTTTAAATATCCACAAAACCTAATAAAAGAGAACGATTTTAATAAAGTATTCCATAACGACGGTTAGCTTTTCATCATCATGCTCAGCGACACGTGAAGAACAAAGGTGTTTCCTTTCTTGACATAGGTTGTGAAGTACAAAGGCTTTTCATCATCAAGCCTCCCTTCTTACAATATTTAGGAGGAGTTTATCCAACTAAGTACCTGGTAATTAAACGTTTACCGATAAAATTCATTTTAAGAGGTAAGATTCTAGTCCGTTAAAACAACATCGTATGCAACAATTTACCCGATAAGTTCTAACCAGGTAAGAGTTATCACTCTAACTTACCGTGCATGACTTTTGGTCTTTGTCATCGTTTTTACCAGGTAAGATTCTTGTTTTTACTACGTCCATGATAAGATAATGTGACTTAATAATTTGGTAAACGAACGCTTAATCTTCTTATTTGAGTCGATCCGTGTTTAGAGGACTCAAAAAGCAATATTATATTACCATCAGGGTAGCAAGGAAAGGGGTAAATATGGGGGATATCCGGATATGGATGAGGATGGGGATCGAGAGAAAAATATAGCAGGAAAGTTATGAAGGCTTTTTAGCTAAAAACATGGGGAATCAAAATACCCCCATGTGCTCTTTCACCTTTCTGTTGCGATCCCAAATCAAATCATTATGGTTTGGTTGTTGCCAAGTGACAATCAAAAGCTTCACCCCCATTTCCAAAAACTATATTATTTTAGAAATTCCGAAGAAAATTGTTTAAACAATATATCAAGAGGGTGTTTGGGATTGCTTATAGAAACTACTTATTGACTTATTCCGGTGTGACATCGGTAATAAGCATTTTTGAGTGTTTGGATAAATAACTTATACTGGTGTCAAACCGGTAATAAAGAATTTTTAAATAAGTTAAACATTTATGACTTATAATAAGTTGATAAGTGATTTTGTAGAAAAGCATAAGTTGTTTCAAATAAGCACTCACAAACACCCCCTAAACTCTCTTTTAAATAGGAAAAAATAGGAGAAAATTTTAAAAAATCTTCAAAATTAAAAACATTAAAAAAAAACATACATGTTAAAGATGTTTTAAACACTGTCAAACAATCTTGCAATTCCATATTCTGACTGCCATGTTTTTTTTTTCTCTTCAAATAATCCACCCTACCCAAGGATGGTTATTTTTAAAAAATATTCAACAAATCAAGTTTGGTTAAGATTCATCATCATAGAATGAGGTACACAAAACAAAAACTGGTTTTATTTTATGTTTGGTGTAACATTAACTGAGACATGATACGAGTAGAATAAAGTAACATTTATTTTGTCTATTAAGATAGGTGGAATAAAAATAAGAAAAATATGATACCATTGGTAATTACTAAATTACACATGTGAAAATAAAGACCCTAAATATCTTCCACAATACTCTTATCCACCTACCTCACTCTCGCTCCTCCGATCCCATCCAGTCTCATCCCTTTCAATCCAATCCCGTCAAGTCTCGTCTTTAGATATAGGACTAAGAGGTCGTTTACCAAATGTTTATCCGGTAAACGCTTACCCTCGTCATTTACCTTACCAGATGAATATGACAAGTACCCAGAATCTTATTCAGTAAGGGTGATGGCAAGACCAAAAGTTTTACCAGGTAAGTGAGAATGACGACTCTTACTCGGTTAGTGCTTACCAGATAAATTGTTGAATATGTTGCCGTTTAATGGACTAAAATCTTACCCAGTAAGATAAGTTATAATGTTGAATTTTACTATTAAGCACTTATCAAATAAGCATTTGGGTAAACGTCCCCTAAATCATAACTTACATTTGATACCTAGGGAATGTTTGGTTGTTTTTCCAGTAAGTTGTATATGAATAAAGTTGTTTGTGTTAATTAATTTGTCTGTTTAGATTGAGAAAGTTTTTGTTTGAGATGATTTTTTTCACATATGTAATGAACGTGTTTTTTAGTTGGGAAAGTCGAGTTAAAAAAATTTGGTTTTCTACATAAAGTCTTCCTAAAAACTTATTAAATAAATTAATGTAATTAAACCACTATCAAACAGTTATTTATAACTAAATAAAAAAATATAAATCTTATTTAACTTATTAAATTACTAATAAACAATATCTTAATATCCAGTTTTAGATTACAACACTTTTAAAAGTTACAAAATCGTAATCATGCATATTGATATTTTTAATTGTAAAATAATTTTTTTATTACAATATTATATCTATAAAGATATTTTACTTTCAAAATATAATATTATAATAAAATAAAATAAAATCTAAATTTACATCGCTATTTCTTGGATTAATAAGCATTCAATTTTATAAAGAATGTTTATTTCACGCCAATGGATCCACATGGGATATTTAATTTATGCTTTTGCATTCATACACATCTGGCCGTAGCTTACACGGCAAGGCGTCAGTGTTATTTGTAACTCCCCAACCCCACTCCGCATCTCTTTCTCCCCCAAACTCCGGCAATCTCCCCCAAACCACCGCTCTCCGCTACCAACTCCGGCTGCCTCTACCACGTTTAATTAACTAACTTCTATAAAATAAACTAAAAGCTTATCATTTCTACCAACAACTCCGGTGGCTTGAACAGAAACATTGTTAATTTATATAACTGTAGAATTACAAGTTAAATATGGAAAAAAAAGATGTGCTTAAAAAAACACCTACCTGTGTGATGGCATCATTGTTCGTATGATCAGAGGAAATTGCAGAGATGCAACAGCAAGAAAGTGTATGGTGCAAAAGTACACATCGTCGATGTACTCTTCTTCCTTATTTTGGTTCCAACGGTAGCAATAGCTAGCTTTCTCCGTACACACATAGAATTGCAGACACTGAACAAGAGAAGTACCTAATGTACTAACAGTAAGAAGATCTAAATGGATGAAATTGAAATTTCAAGATCTAGAGAACATTTCGAGTTAAATGATGAAAAAAAAAATAAAACTAAACTGCACAGTTCTACCTTAATTTGTTATTAATTTCATGCAAGAATTGATGAGATGTAATGGATGGATCGATCGTCATCTTCATGGCTTCACTTGAACCCACTGGAATCGACCTTCCAATGGAGTGTCGTTCACAATGTCGTAATTATACCTGCAAGTTATGGCATATGTAGATTTCTTACACGAATTATTTCTCTGATTTCCAACATGAAGAAGAAGAAGAAGTAGATGATAGATTCGTTGGCTCACTTGTCTTTGAAACGTTTATGGAGTTCTGTCTCCGCAGAGGCGAAAAATTCTTCGAGTTCAGCTGCAGGTGGCATCTTCTCTGCTGGCATTGTACGGCGAGAATTGATAACCGTCGACTGATTTGCTGTAATCGTCTTCTGTTCGCCTGATCCGGCCTTTAACTCACTTCTCCGTTTGCTAAAAGAATGATCCATCAAGTTGAGAACGAGTTTTGATTTGCTTCTAGAAGGAAATGAATCATGAAGAACATATATTCATCTTCCAAGTTTTGAAGAAAATATGAGATTGAGATAAAATATTAACAAAAACCTTGCTCTTGAGTCTAAACTACATCTCGCAACTGCGCCAATTTCAACGATTTCCTGAAAATTCATTTGAAAACGGAAAATTCAAGTTATTGAGTACGTACGAGTAAATCACATACGAAGAAATAGAGAGGAGATAGAGAGTAAAATTTAAAATGAAACTGTGAATCATATGCATACCTCCAGATCTGTGAATTGACGTTCCTCCGTCGATCCATTTCTAGAGCAACAAGACACTGGGACATGATCGCTGCTACGGCTTGCGGCGCTGGCAGTACATGGATACCGTATCTCCCCCGCCGTAGTAATTTGAACTAGCGTCGGCAAAGGCAACCTCAATTCTCCATTACCGACCTTCCTTCTTTTCTCTGCTCCCTCTTCCTCCTCCGCCGCCACAGCTCTAGTCCTCATTCCTACCTGATCAGAATCAACCACCACTACCTCACCAACTCCGTTACTGCACTTCCTTATATACTCAACCATTTATACACACGTATACATTATATATATAATTTATCCAAAGTAAGAATCAAGCGGTACGTTAGTTCTTCAAATGGAGAATAATATCTTCTTCTGTGATTTTCTGTTTTCTAGTTTGAGAGAAAAAAAAGTGTGGAGGTGATGATGACGACGACGCTGATGGCAGGGATTCCATTTGAAAGCTTCTTATCGATTGGATGTGGCCGTGTGGTCCTCACTCCTCACTTTCACGCACTTTCTCTCTCTACTTTTTTGTTAGAGTTTTATGCTGTAACGGGAGATTTGACGACAACGTTATACCAGATCCACAATTATACCGTCGTCATGTTTGAGCTTTGATCGTGGCGTGTACGGCGGCGAGTTTGTATTTGCCGGTTACAGTTGATTATCGGTTAACCGGAATTTGTGGCAAAATACGCCAGTAACCGGCCGGCGCCACCAATAATGCGGTTGCAGTTCCAACTCATACGTCTATCGTCTTCATCGCGGGTTGTTATGGTGATGAACAGATGATTTGGTGATTAGTGGGTAAAAATTTGATGTCCCAAAATTTAACACGTAAATCTTGTGAAGTTAATTGAGATGCGTACCTCCTTAAAAAAAATTAACACTCCATAAAAAAAATTAACACATATCAATTTTTTATATATTAAATTTATTTTATTTAATTTCACATTTCCTCTTTAATAATATTTGGTCAAAATTCATGAGGTCTCATGTTCAAACCCAAAGAGAAATAAAAATTCCCTTGTGGCCATGGAGGTTCAAATGCGATAACTCTGGGCTATCTGCAAAGCAGGTGGTCGTCTTGGGATTAGTCGGGTCGCATAACAGGTTAAATATTCAGGTTAATAAAAAAAATTTGTCAAAAGTTGGTTATCAACAAATCCAACCGATCCCATATGAAACCCGCATTTAAAGTTATCAATATAAAGGAATATTTTTTGACTCATTCAATGACTAAAGCTAACGAGATCTGAGATCGGACATGTAATGCTATGACTTATGTGATTGGTGAGCAGAGATGTAAGATGCAAGAATTTTCTCATCAACATAAGAAGTATGTGGTCCAACACAGAAGACTCCATTAAATGAAATGTTCGAGGACAAGCAAAACCATCTTCTTCAAATGTCACGACATGGACGAATGATTACGTGAGAATAGGAGTTAAGGTGAGAAACGTAAGAAAGAATCTGGACACTTGATCACTTTAATCTCATCTCCACCCCTAATACCCCATGGATTGCGTTTATCACGGGAATTGATCTGGTGCACCGCATTAGTATTGATCTTTAGTTAAGATTGATCAAAGGGTGAAGATTCTTTCTTACCCTGCTCATCATAACTTTCATTCTCATCGAAACTCAACCCTATAAAGATGTCTACGAAACTCAACCCTATAATTATGAGTATTTTCAAGAGTCGTTCAACAAATTTTGTCCATGTTAACAAATCTAAAGCCATATTAAATGCTAACGATGTTCTCATGATTCTCGTTCTAAAATGATATGACAGTAGACCGAACACAAGAAAAGGGGACAAGGCACCACATGCTCATGCATTTAATTTTGGGGCCAAAAGAATCAATGCCACCCAAATCAATTCAATCGCTACCCGTAAGTTCCCAAATATTTGCAAGCATCCAAAGTTTCTAGTACAATGTCGTTTCATACACATGCAGCCGTATCTACAAATTACTGATATCCATCGTTTTGGTGATTTCTTATCACTCTTTTAGTAATGGAACTAAAAAGCAACCTATGAAGAAAAGGGGAGGACATGAAATTTTTTAAGTTATCACATTATACTAAATGGGTCATTTACCAAACACATACGGGTAAAATTTAACACTAACAGTTACTTACAGGGTAAAATTTTAGTCCACCAAAACGGCATCGTATGAAACAATCTACCAGTAAGCGCTTACCATGGTAAAATGAAGATGAGGAGGGGGGGGGGGAGATAAGTGCTCTCGTTAGTCATTTATGGGTCGATCACTGAATTTTCTTTCTCCATTCTTATTTTGTTACAGTGGATTTTATATTCATTGTGGTAGTATCAAGTTAGACGTTAGGACGAGAAGTGAAAGAAACGACTATACTTCTCCCAATAATTTATGGAGCGTTTGGATATGGGATAATTACTCATTGTACAGGGGTTCCCGTCCCATCTCTCAATTATCTCGACATAGTGGAAGAAAAAACTTATGACTCTTAAATATGTCATCGTTATGATACAGTGTGTGTCACCACTGGACATTATTTGTACGAAAACTGAGTGACTAGAATAGCGCATCGAAACTTAAACTTGAGTTTTTATGGTTAAAATGATGAAACACAAAACTGTAATTGTAACACGTTAGGATTAGTTCCGATTGATTAGTATTCTGCACAATATTTTGTAACTATAATTAACTTTTATCTTAAAATTTGTTTTATTTTATTTTATTTTATACTGCAGTAATTATTTTGTATTACAACTGGAAAAAAAATCTACTTCACTCCGTGTTGAATGTGTGTTTCAAAAGTGATTACTGTGACATCTAAAAAATTAGAAAATATAACCGAAATTGGAGATAATAAGGTGATTTTATGTTTTACTAAATAACCAATTTCTTAGGAGCAATTCTTGCTTATCAAAATCGAATTATTTCCTCCAGAAATCAGATTTGTCAAATACTTAAAAAAATTATTGTTTATATGAAAACCATGAAAAAAATTTCATTTTTGCAACAAAAAAAGAAGAAGTTGTCAAATAGAAACGACCATTCACCAACTGGTACTAGACAAGAAATTAAACATCTGAAATTCAACGATGAGAATACTTTTTTGTTTTACCTTTTACCTTATCTCATAAAAAAATATTGTAGTCATTATCGGAGTTATGTTTTGTTGTGTAAATTTAACAGATATTCTTTTTTTTAATTAATTTGGTTATCCAACCCACTATGCTAGCTGACTAATTTCAGGGCGACCATCTGCTTTGCATATAGCCTAGAGTCACCGCATTTGAACCTCTGTGGCTACAAAGGGATTTTTATTCCTCCTTTGATTTGAACCTGGGACCTCCAGATACTTTTGACCTTTGTAGTCAAGCTCAAACCAATCAGGCACCACTCTTTTGGTTACATGTATTCTTTTTAATTACACATATGGTAAACCGTACTACAATAGAACCAACTATTTATTCGTTCGTACTTTTGAAGCTTCATAGGGCCTTTCTGTACAGGTGCAGGTGGTCTGCATCTCCACCGTGTAGGAACTACGAGATTACCCCAACGACACCTTCGACACCCAATTCTTTCAAAGTTATGGGATCCATTTCCACGTTCGAGCAAAAAATTTAAAATTTCTTAGTTTAGGGAACCAAAATTGAACCAATTATGTTTACTTCATTTTTTTTTGGGGAACATGAATTTCTTTATTTCATAGATGAGAAACTTTGAGATTTGGTTTTTTGAAAATGATTATTCTAAAAACGGGTTCTTAAAAACAAGAATAAGATAAAAGGTGACCTGATTTTTGGTGCAATCTGTCTTTATATAGTGTGTTATAATAATAAAAAAAATCTACGAGATCCAAAACGACTTGAAAATGTTATAAATTTCTAATTTCGAAATTTGGTGCAAGATTAATAAAGTGGTAACTGTAAACGTGAAATCATTGACATATAATAAAAAGTATCCTGATTTCATTGATGACGGTTAGAAATGTTAGGTTGATTAACCACAAAAGTGGTGCTTGATTGGTTTGAGTTTGGCTTCAAAGGTCAAAAGTACCAGGAGGTTCAAATGCGGTGACTCCGGGCTATCTGCAAAGCAGGTGGTCGCCCTGGGATTAGTCGGCTCGCATAGCGGGTTGGATATCCAGGTTAATAAAAAAAAATGTTAGGTTGATTGGTTCTTCCTAATTGATTCACGTCCTTTGATGGTTTTTAAATGCTAAACTACAATCCGTCGTATGCTTCACTAATTGAACAGCAGTCGAGAACTATCATTATGTTTTTGCCATTTATTAAAATTGGTCCAACTAAGTACATGATGAATAGACACAAATTTGCTACTTTTATTGATGCATTCATGTTTCTTGAACTGATAACGTTAAAAATCTTATTTTTCATGTTTTTTAAATTCATAGTCGATAAGTAATAATTTAATTTATGGCAATTTAAATTACAAAATAATGATAAAATATTATTATGTCAATATCAAATACTGATACAAGTACTGATTTTGTATACCAATTAAACACTGTCAATAAATTCCATCAGCTGATTGATTAATTAATCACATAAAACCAAATAATCATCACGTGTTGATGACCAGGCTCTTGAAAACTTATCTAGGGTCCAGATGAAAATTAAATTATATGAACAATTCTCTGATTTAACTTAGAGATCGTTTATTTAAAATATTTAGGCATTGTTTGGTAAATATAAGCTAACTTATCTTTGAATATACGTTTAGATAGATATAAGTTAACTTATAACTTATTTTATTGAGACGCTAGTTAGAGTAATATTTAGGAGATTTTTGACATTTTCTCCAATTATAACCCTGATTAATGTTAGGCTATTTTTGGCAAAAGTTGGTACCTGATAAACTAGCTGATGAATAAATTATATTTAGCAAAACTAGCTGATAAAAATGTAAAATGATCAAAAATGGTATCTTGAAAATTAATCAAATATGATATTTCAAAATGCCATATCGTATGTAACAATTTACCTGATAAACGCTAACCAGATAAGACTCGTCAACCTCATTTACCGTGTAAGACTCTTGGTCTTTGTCATTGTCTTACTGAGTAAAATTCTCGATCATTATCATGTTCATTCGATAAGGTAATATGATTTTAGGAGCCGTTTACAAACACTTACCGGGTAAACGCTTACTTATCTTATGTGGCAACATTCGTTGCCATGAAAAATTCAAAATAAATTGATGGTAAGCATTATAACCCGGTAAGCGCTTAATATGTAAGAGACAAAACCCTCGGTTATCGGGTAATACTTTTGATCCTTATCGGGTAAGATCTCGGTTCTTGTTATGTTCACAAGGTAAGGTAATGAAGTCGGTTTAGTAAACAGCCCCGTAATAGTTGGATAAATGTTTTGATAAACGGCCCATTAATCGACTCAATTTAACATTATTTAAGT